AGAACATGTGGGATGAATAAGATCACAGTTTGTTTGGAGGGTAAGAGATAAATGGCTCGGCCAGCCCCACCTATTTCTCTCTTGCTCTGTGGTGAACGGGCCAGCATGTGGCTACTAGTTTTTTGCTTCAACTTGTGAGCTACACTACCTGTGGGACTGCAAAACGGTGGATTGTGTTGCTAGGGTTTGAGGTTCCTTTGAGACCTGCTCTGTGATGCTGCTGGTATATACCATATATACTCATGGATAAGCAGATTTTTTCAGCACATTATTAATGCAGTTTATGTTGTAAAAAGTAAGTGCCTTGGCTGATATTTGGGTCTGCTTATACGAGAGTACATATGGTACATCGCTTGAGCATGGGACTGTCAGAACCTGTAGTCTTGCTGACAGTTGGTGACCTGCCCTGCTGTTTGCTGCCTGTGGCTGGACTACCTGCATTGCCCTATGGATGACTTAGCTGTCTGCTTCCTTGATCTTGGACCCAGCGGCCCTTATGAGTTGAAGGACTTTCAGTATATCAACTATTCCACACAAGTGAGTTGAACTGAGCTCTCTGTACTGCTTTGTGGACTAATTAGCTGTAATATTCCTCCATGATATATAAATATAAATATATATATGTATATATATATGTATATATATATGTATGTATATGTGTGTATGTATGTATATATATATCCATAAATTTATAAGTGTCCTGGTTTTGCTTCTCTAGAGAACCTGCAGAAAAATGAAGCAAGACCCTTACCTCACTCCATGCACAAGAATAAACTCAAGGTGGATCACAGACCTAGAGGAAAACCCTGAAACTATTAGGGCCATCAATGAGGGAATTGGGACAAATCTGAATTGGCGCAGGGAATTCATAACTATGGGAAATAGGTAAGGACACAAATACAGATGAGCACAAATTGACAAGGGAGATAAACTGAAGACAAAACACCTGTTTATCAAAAGAATTCGCCAAGAGAGCAATATGAGAGCCCATGGACTGGGAAAACATCTTTAGCAATGACACATCAGACAAAGGCCTTATTACTAAAATCTATAGTATTCTGATAGCTTCCTA